AGAGTCACAAAGCAGAATGGCTGTTGCCAGAGGAGTAGGGGGAAGTTAGTGTTTGATTGGTAAGCAGGTAATAAGGAAGCACTTTGGCTGTTCTAGATCTTTAATCCCCCCTGTAATAGTTTGCATTATTTCTATAAATTAAAAATAAAAGTGACAAAAATTGTCTTTTCAAGACATGTCATGTGGATTTTTTGTCACTTAGTTCTGGTAAGGACTCTAAGATTCCTAAAGAGGGATCCTAAATTATTCTAGGCTCTGATTAGATCTTGCTGCACATGATGCACAATAAAGTGAACTCTGGATGAATAAGGATCAAAAAAAGAATGGCAAAAATAAAGTTCTAGAAGACAGGGTAGAAGAGTATCCACTTGATCTTAGGGTAAGAACAAGGTTGAAAATATTGATTATGTGTGACTACACTGACATTATCGTTAAAGAGAATGAAAAAGCAAACTGGAAATAATTTACATTCTGTGTATATGACTGACAAAAGGCTCATGTTCAGAACTGAACTCCTGAAAATCAGCAAGAGAAACTAAACTCAACATAAAAATAGGTGAGGACCTTGAAACGCCACTTTATAAAAGAGGAAACAGGAAATGAATACTGCTGTGAGGTTGGCAAGAAACATAGACGGGTCATCCCCGGTGTAGAACAGGAGGTGGACTACCGGAGTTTACAGACATTTCTGGTGAGAGTGCAGAGTGGTACAGCACTTTGGAGAACACACTGCCTGACCAAGCAGGTGGAAGGGACGTGTACTCTGTGACCTGATCAACTCATTCCTGGATGCACACCCTGGAAAGCAGTGCGTGTGGGTCCCAGGGAATGTAAGGATGATCTTCACTGCAACATTGTTCCCGAAGAGAAGCAGGAAACAATCGAATGCCTATCAACAAGTCATATTCACACAAAGAACTACCTAACAGTTAAAATGCACTGCAGTTACAAACATGACGTATCTTACAGCAAATAATGTCGACCAAAAGCAGACACATAAGTAAATGAAGCTTTGATGTATTTAGCAAAAAGCTTAAAACTATATTGCTTTGGATTTCACACTTCCTTGGTAGAACTATTGAAATGCAGAGGCCAAGAGAGCATTGCTTCAGCAGACCGAGGAATGGTTAGGCAGAAGACACTGGAAGGGTTTTAGAGACTGTCTACTACTTTTTAAAATTGAAGCGAGACACACACAATGCTTACCAACTCAACCATGTTTAAGTGTGCAGCTCTGTGACTGCAGGGAAAGCACTGTTCATATGCTGTGCAAGTACCACCCCCAGAACCTCACTCCCTCCAACTGATGCTGAAACAAACTCTCGCGCCCTTATTTTGCACTCCTCCAGCCCTGGTGGCCATCATTCTCCTTTCTGAGTCTGTAAATTTGAGTATTCCAGGTACTTCCTGAGATGAAACCACTGTTCTACTTGTGCAACTGGGTTTTACTGAGCATCGCGTTCATCCACGACATAGCAGGTATTCAAATTTCCTTTAAAGCTGAGAAATCTCCCATTGTACATTCATACCTCATTTTAAAAATTCACTCACCCATCGACAGATATTTAGTTTGCTTCTAACTTTTGGCTACTGTGAATAATGTGGCTATAAATATAAACACGAGCAGATAAATATCGGTTTGAATCCCTACTTTCAACAATTTTCTACTTCTTAACTGACAGAGTTTTTGTATTACTTGTAGTGTGACTGAATTTATGTTCTATATGCATTACATTACATAAAAAGTTTTTTAAAAAGCCTTGTAGATCTGGAATTCAGTTAGCATGGAAAAATCTCTGATTTTTCCTGTGGTTCTCTCTCTCTCTTGTCCTAGTATTGAAAAGCAAGTTCTACTTGTCATTTTCCTAAAAACGATCAGTGATGTGTGAGATACAGGAGAAAGTATACATTCACAAAATAAGTACCCTCGCGTGTTTGAGGGTGTATCTGAAAGGACATATGCACAGTATTTCAGGTCAACAATATCAGACTGAAAAATAAATAATGTAAGTGTGCTATTTAGATAAAGAAGTAAATAACACAACAATGAAAAGTATCGACAGAGAGTTCAAAGTAGTTACTTCGTTGGAGTGGAAATTGGGGGTGTGGAAGGGACAGGACGAGGTTTACCCTTTTCATAGTTTGTGTATAACTTGTAAAGTATTTTGATTACTTTACATTTAATATCTGTCACATATATTGCAAAAAGGCAGTTTATTTAGCATGTACAATGAATTAATCAACACCTGTAATTATCTCACTCTTCAGAAAAGGCCGTTGTCATGATTTCAAGTATTACTCATCCAGGTTTTACTTTACCTTGTTTTAATATCACTGTGATGTTTTATGTCTCTTCTTATGACTTCTAATTGTTACACTTTTAAACTATATTAGACTGGTATCTTTACCACAACTGCCACCTAGTATCCTGTTTTGTGGAAACTTTGTTATTTCTTCTTTTTGGTGGAGTCAATCTTCTTCAAGGGTTTGTGAAATGCTAAACTTCGAGATCTCTAATTCTCTGCTTGTGAAAAATTTCAAATCCTGTCTTACATGTGAAATTCTTAATGAAGTAAAATCATTGCAAGATGAAACTTCAGCAGAAATTCATTCACACTAACATACATTTCTCATAGTGTATTTTACCTTTCATAGTATGTTAGAGTTTGGCTTCTCACCTAAAGGGTGAGAAATGGGCTGGTGGCCAAGGATCTTGTTTAGTCAATGTCCAACACTTAGTTGATATACAAGGCTTATTTTTTTCTTAAATAACAGAAAGGGGAGTGCAGGAAGATAATGATCTTCATATCAGGAGTAGGTGATCCTGGACAGTGTCAGATTCCTGCTAAGCTTTGTTGGGCCCAAATGCACATGAGGTCTTTGGTTTTGTTATGGTGAGAGAAAAAAAAATATTCCACTTAGAAAAATGACAGCATATGCCAAAATCCAGCAGCCTGAAGATGTATGGTTTCCTTGGAGAACAGGGGTGATGGTGGCAGGGGACGA